CCTCTCTGTTCACCAGAACAAACCATCCCTTGCCGACAYGTGACCATTTTTTCCCCTTGTTGCAAGATTGCATTATGCTGGTCACTGCAGCATACTGCATTGCGCCATCAGGTGTCGCCCCCTTGAACACCACACGCAGCACGTTGTGCGGATCGGGAAATACTCGTGCCAACCTAAGGATTGCATGTGCCCAACCTTTGGTTACTTATCCACAGGCCGTCTTGAGATCATAGTACACATCATTGTCGTCGTCCTCTTCGTCGTTGCTGACGTCGCTGCCGCTCACCTCCATGTCAGACCCCTCGTACTCTTCCTCATCCTCCTCCTCTGCATCATCTCTGTGCTCTGCATCGTCTCTGCGCTCTGCCAACTGTTGTTCCCCTAAGAAGAAACCCTCACACATGTCCATATACACCAAGTCCTCTGTCGTTGATGTGTGCATGGTAGACACGTCGACCACCATCGTCCCACTCGTATCCTGTGCTGCTGATGTCTCCCCGGTTTCTTCAATGACCGGTAACCTTGTTTCGCTGGCAATCAGCCTCCAACCCTCTTCCCTTTCCCTCTGTCTCTCGACATCGCAGGTTGCAAGACCAAGCCGCTCCAGAGCACAACCCAACAAGCCCCCCCACAATGGTCTGCCACTAATGATCTCCTCTCCTGCTGACGCTGTCACAAAATCAATGAGATCTCGACCCTGCACGGCGTACTCTGTGACTTCGTGCAAGGCCTCATGAATGACGTTCCTGTCATCCTCTGTCTTGTTCATGAGGTCACATAGCTGATCAAGCAGAACGTATTCCACACCGTCTGCAATAATCACGAGAAACTCTTGAAAGTCCTGGGGCGGTGTTTGTGTCATGTCCTTGATTCTGGACAACACTAGTATTTCTGCAGCACCCCTCTTCAACTCGTCGTTCGCCCCTTCAACAAGCATGTCCTATCCCTTCGCCACACTCACCATAAACTTCCTGAAAGCCACAGGTGTATAGGTCTCCCCTTTCTGCTGCATTGTCATGTTGACAAGTCCTTCGTCGCACATGCCTTCGCTGCACATCCACTGCACAACTCCTTTTAGACTGTATGGGCTGTCTTCCGCGTTGCTGTCCACACGAACATCAGGTGACTCTCTCAATCGTTCCAAGAGTGTTCGTGCCTACACACAACCACTGCCGTTGGCCGTGATCGTGCATCTCATATCCATGCTAACAGCAAAGTACCCCGGCACCCTCTCCTCCAACAAAGACAACTCGCCACGGCCATTGTAGTGGAAACCCTCCTCTGCATACTTCATCACCTCTGTGAGAGCCTTCGCCACCTGTGCTACCGACATTGACATGATGCACAAGCTTTGTTTTTCGACCTCTTCTCTCTACCAGCGGAAACGCACAAAAACGTCACCGACATGTCTGTGTGTGTGTGTGTGCGTGTCTGTGTGTGTGTGTGTGTGTGTGTGTGTGTGTGT